GCAAAATAATTTTGGCTCTTCCCACTAACAGGGAAAGTTTCTCTGACTTAAAAAAAATTGTTCTGAAATTGTTTTTCAGATTTTATTTCTTATTAGACTTTTTTCCCCTTAAACTCCATTTTGGAGATCGTGCTTTTAACTGTGAGAGCACTGTTCTGAGAATGTTTCCCAAGTAGGGTCCTCCAAGTTGCATTGACCCCGAGTGCAACACCAGTCCTGTGTGGACTCCTGTCTTCATCAGATACTTTATGTAGGTATTTCCAACTTCAGGAGTTAGTTTATTACATTTGGGGAAATAAAGGATACTTGGTAGGGAATAGCTCTAGACTGGGCATTCAGTAGACATTACTGGTTTCTTCAGGTCATGGGAAATGCTGAATTTAAGTTATGGATGTGGTATTTACTGAGGGGTGTCTTTTAGGGAACAGGAGAAATACTACTATCTCTGGAAAGTTAAACTACAGTTTAAGTTTTACAGCTGTTGAACCGTAGAGTGAATTTAGTCATCTGAGGATAAACTGAAACGAACATCCTGGACTCGTGTTAAAATCAAGGGGTCCAGACCAAAGGGTAGATGCTTCTCATTCACCAATTTGTTTTGAAGCTGTAAAACATAGATCACAGAATAATACCACGAGGTACCTTTGGATAGCCACAAACCTGGATCAAATACACCCTTGGCCCGGAGCCCCTCAGTTTATAGGGTGACCTACAGTGGGTGAAATGGTCCCAGCAGCCACCACCTCCTCACGCTGGCCCCAGACTGGGAGGCCTTCCGGTTCCGTGTGTGTGCGTGCACGGTGCCTGTGTCTGCAGGGGAGGGACTGGTAACATTTTTCCTGCCGAGACACTAAATGTTTTTCGACGCTAATGCTGACCTGATAGAGAATTAATTTCTTTCCCTGAATCTGATGGTAGCAGGATTTACTTGGTAGCCCTTGATTTAAAATACCTGGTTTTCTGTTTTTTAAAGAAATAAGATCAATGGGTGGAAGAAACTGTTTCTCTACGGACTGATTAAATAATTTTGTAACAGCCCTACCCTGGGGTAGAAATGAATGAGAAGTAGATGACTGAGTTACGACAGTTCATCACTCTGCCCTGCTTGTTTTTTCGGGGATGCGTTTGCTTTATTGACAGAAGAATGTTGGATTAGTTCTCTGTGTCTGTATTTGCGATTCACAGGACTCTTGTTTTGCATATGCTACAAAATAAAAGTTTAGCTGTACTAAAGACTACAATTCTGGGGTCCAGATTGTACAAATTAAACACAATTCTGATTCTACAATTTGGCTAGGTTCATCAGTTTCCTAAAATTACTGGCTCTTTTTAACGTACCCTTTTATCTGTAGAAAAACAAGCTGTCTCTGCTCTGATTAAGCTTAAAAATGAACCCCAGTTTAAGAGCGTTTCTGTAAGAAAACTGGGTACTTATTTAAAATATATTGAGTCGTGTAAATACTTTCTTAATTGAACAGTTTTTTAATTACTCATCTCTGCCTTTTAGGTCATTTTGATTGACTCAAAAATTTTAACCAGAGTATAGGAGATAAGATATGCCCACCATCAAGCATTTTAAAATATGAACTTTACATAAACTTTTAAAATACGATATTCTGTTATATAGTAACAGAATAGAAATTCTAAGAATATAGCCAGTATTTTAACAGCCACCAAAATTTGATTCTCAGTATTGCTAAAACTTTTTGAGTGTGTAAATATTTTCTGTCTTCTCATTTTTTCTAACGTGGAGATGGAAATGTTAAACATTAAGATCTGCCCTTGGAATGAGCTTCACTTGACTAGCTCTTCTGTTGTTTAGAACTTAATTTCTGGTCAGGGAAGAAGGTACGTTCACGATAGCTTTTAAATCGACACGAGCTGTCGAGTAGCCATTGTTGCCTAATGCATTCAGTAAGTTCTGTGTTCTGATGCAAGCTGGATTCCTAGAAATTCAAAAATAACTAAAATGCAGGGAC